CAGCGCAAACGACTGCAAGTCGGCAGAGCCACTGCTCGAGGACGTTGACGACTCCTCTGCGTTCTGCGGCCTTCGACGGCCAAACTTTGTGCCGCCGAGGTTTACTGTGATGGTCTCGCCCTCCTTGAGGCTGTAGTCCTTGGTCTCCGTCTTCTTGGCCTTGCCGTCGGCCGGGTTGTTCGCGCTGCCGCCGCCGCTGCTGTGCGCCTGTTCCAGCTCCCAGCCGAGGCTGCGCCGGGCCTCCTGCAGGGAGACGGCGAGGTCGAAGGCGTCGGAGCGCTCCTCGAAGCCGATGCCGAGCACGGCTTTCCTGCCCTGGGGGTCCTTGACGGTGACTGCGAAGAAGCGGCTGCTGTCGACGACGGGCTCGACGGCGGAGGGGTCGAGGTAGGGCGCTGCGGCGAAGAGGGCGCCTGTGGAGGGGTCTTCGAGGACGAGGTCGATCTTGATGCTGGTGGTGCTGTTGTTGCTGCTGGAGTTGGAGTCGGGGGTTGTGGTGCTTTCGAAGGAGGTTTCGACGATGCGGAGGCGCGCGGTGAAGATGTGGCGGGCGGGGTCCTCGGTCCAGGAGGAGGCGGAGTGGCCGCGCATGGAGGTGAGGGGGGGGATGTTGTAGACGTGGACGGGGTGGGCGACGAAGAGGATGCGCTGGATGGCGTCGCTGGGGAGGGGCTGGCCGGTGGTTGGGTCGATGGGGTCCATGGTGGTGATTGTGGTGGTGGTTTGATGTATGGTGATGGTTGGATTGGCGGTGATGAGGCGGAGGTTGAGAGTTGAAGGTGATTGAGGAGCTCGAAGGGGACTGAGGCTGGAGATAGCGTAGTTGTCGTAGGTGGTGATACTGGCGATGGTGTTGAGGGATGGAAAGGAGAAGAAGAGGAGCGGTGGCGGACTCTCTAATCTGCTTGGTTCTCCGTCAATGCGTTCTTGTTTGTTTGTTGTAGGTCTAGGGAGTGATATCGCGAACGGAGATGCTCTGGATCTCGACCTGGACATCAATCGATTGGGCACCTCATCCAATAACGCCTCGCTGCCCTATAAACTGCGCTGGCGCGATCCACTCGGCGCGGATGGAGGGGTTGGTTTACAGGGGGTCTTACAGTGGCTTGCGCCTGGAGCTACGGGGGGAGTTACCCCGCCAAGTGTGGCTAGTGTTGAATCTGAACCTTGCGTCAACTTTTGAGCTTCGATAGCGGCAGACGAAATCTCCCACTTTCTTGAGTCACATCACAAGAATCCGCGTTTCAACGTTGCGCCCGCTCTCTGCCTCGACGATACCCTCAATTTTGGTCGCATTCTACATCAGAGACCGCCGCGCAATATGTCAGAACCAGAAGCTGGTTCGTCAACCTCCTTTTAAGCTTCAGCACTCCCAGATCATGCCACTGACTCTCGCCTCTAGCCGTTGCGCAGCAGACGACGGAGCTTCCCCTTCGAACCCAGCCGAACGACTCGACCTTTGAGTACGCCCATTTCTCTCCTCTCCATCATCCCCTCTGACCCGTTTTCCAGCATCGTCGCCACATACAGAGACCTCCTCGCCTCCGACCCCGACCTCACCAAGCCCGTCGCCGCCATCGAATCCCTCATCGCCCTCCTCAACACCGTCCCCTCCACCACCGTCTACGAGACGCTCGACACCGTCAAATCCCACTCGGACCTCCTCAAGGCCTCGGTCGACAACCCGCTGCCCCTGCAGGCCGGCACCGATCTCTTCCTCCAGTACCTCGTCGCCTCGCTCAAGCAGCAGGACGGCAGCTTCGACGCCGTGCGGCAGCACCTGCTGCGCAATGGGCGCCTGTTTGCGAGTAGGGCCATCGCAGCCAGGAACGGCATTGCGGAAGCCGGG